AACTTTGATTTTTTGCTCTGGGATGAGCCTTTCCATCATAAGTTTTCATATATAAGCATATACATATTATATATATATATATATATATATATATATATATATATATATATATATATATATATATATATATATATATATATATATATATATATATATATACCATATAATATTTTGATAAGGAACTTATTAATGCTTATTCGAGCGTGTTTGACAGATACCCTTGGCAACCATTCCAACCGAGGTAATAGCAAGAAAGCGTAGTAGCACTTTTTTTTATAAAAAAAGTCTACGAAAGTGTATGCAAATATCTAACTTACGCAAACTTCAAATTATGTAATGTTAAAAGCATACTAAAACAATTATCAAGTTTTATAGTTTTACTTTCACTTGAAAATTGCATTGCGGCAACATCTCCTTAAGATTTGATCTGTAGCACCTATTTCCGTTTGATAAATTCTTTAATAGGTTATAAAGTTTTAAAATTTTCAATAGACAATGTGCCTGCGTGACCGAATGGTTGGCACGCAAGGCTTCTATTTCAGGAAGTCCAGGTTCGCTTCGCACCACCGTTTTTTTTTTTTTTGTTTTTTTTTTTAATTCAATCTTTTTCAATTTTTAGAAAAGAAAGCTGATTTTTTTACATTTTAAAAAACAAAAGTCTAAAAAAACCAACTGATGATTTGAACTTGCCACGCGGCGACCTTTACTTTTTTTAAACAGTAAAGATTTAAAAAATATGTTTTTATTAAGAACATAGTTCAAAACTCTAATTTTATATTTAAAATAAACCATTTTATTAAATTTAAAATTTTTTTAAATATTAAAAAGTTAAAAATACATAGTATTAACCCTACGGGTATTTGTTTTTAAAAGTTACGTTCTAAATGTATTTTAAATGTCTTTTAAACGTCTTATAAATATTCTTACGTAAAAAACGTTTAAAAAATGTTTAAAGGACATTTAGAACGTAACTTTTTACCTATATTTTAAGCTATTTTACCACGTCCCCATTAAACATTCTAAACCAAGTGCGCAACAATGACACGCCTCCATCCTAACCGTGACGCGAAATATGTCCAAAGCTCGTTTCGAACCTGGATCTCCTGCTTATAAAGCAAGGGCTCTAACAACCGCGTTTTACTTTTATAAGCCCATTTTACTTTTATAAGCTTCTGAAATAACTTTAAATCTTCTATTATAATTATCATAAACGATATAATTGTTGAATATACTTTTATTTATAAATAGTATGTAATTTTTAATTTTTTAACCTGTTTTTAAAGTTACTTAAGTTTAATTTTTTAATGTTGTACTTAACGAAACATGTACTGTTTTAAAGGTGATGTATTGAAATTCTATCTTGATAAGCTGGGAATTTTATAGAAGCTAAACATTACCTTTTTTAAAATGTAAGTAAGTTGTTGTTGTTTTTTTATTGATTTTGAATAATTTTTTGTTAGATATTCAATCGTGTTTTATATTAGGTACGCGGAAATCTGTATTTTACGGAAACGAAAAAAGTGTTAAAATTTTGTGCCACGTTTTTTGAATTTTTATTTTTGCTAGTGAAGAAGAAACGTTTGTTGATGGCTTATTATTTAGAATTTCATATTAACATAAATATTTTTTGAAAACTAGAATAAATAAGCTTTATTATTATGTGTCTTTTGATTATAATGAAGAACTTTACATGTGATTTTATTGACATTCAAAACTTAATTGTACTTTGAGCATTTAGTAAATGTTGATAAAATGCTCTTTCATTTTTCTAACTTTTTCTTTCATCTAAGTTTACTCATTTTCAATAACCCTGGCAAATTTCATAGTAAAATTTTTTCAAGCCCATGTCCTATTTACTCACGCACTTTTGGTACCTAATTTATATTTCTTCAAGTTTAACGGTGGGAGGTAGGAGGGATGGAAGTTTTAAGATAACATTTATAATTCAAGCAATATAATCTGATTTAAATAAAGATCAAATGTTTACTTTGTACCCATCTATAGTAATGGAAAAGTACAGGGTTTGCATAAATTTTATAAATAAATAAATGTTTATATTTGTATGAATAAACATTTTTGACAACAGAGTATGTTAAACCACCACCTTCTTAGCCACACATAACAACACATAAAATACAACATAAATAAAACACAACATAAAAATACATCTTAAATAGTTTTTGTTAGTCTCAAAATTAATTGCAATAACTTTTCCTATATAAGTAGTACCAGTTTTACAAAAATGATGCTCTTTTATGGAAGAAATAAGCATTTTAGAGTGATAAAGATTGTGATTTAGCACCCCCTCTAGCAACCTGGATACAGCCATTGGGTATATGCTATTCGAAACTTGTAGCCCAATATTACATCTATCTTTTGATACCAAGTTATAGTTATTTAGATAAGAATTGACAAGTTATAACAATTTTAGTGAAGAAAAACTAAATTTTGACTACAGTTTCTTTAACAACCCAGTGGGCACCCGACGTCAATCCGACGTCGGATTTACGTTTGATTTTCATCAGCGATGTCAAAAGACCTATTCCGACGTTGTTCCGATGTCAGTAAAATGACGTCGGGCGATGTCTTTATCTCAACATCCCCTGACGTCGTTTCGATGTATTTTGACGTTGTTCCGACATCTTATAAAAGACGTCCAAAAAACGTCGCAGTACTGACATCGATCCAACGTCGATAAAAAGACGTCGGGCAACGTCATAATATTAACGTACTCCGATGTCTTTTGACGTCTTCCGACGTCAATCCAACGTCCTTAAAACGACGTTGGAACAACGTCGTAAGACATCGCTGATGAAAATTTAATCCAAACCCAACAATATGTGTGCAATTGCGCTCTTCAATAATTATGTGAACTAAGCGTGTTTTTTTATTAATGGAAAAAAGTTTGAATAAAGGTTGATAAAACATCATGAGGTTTTGTATGATGCACTAGCATAGTTTTTTAACTATTAACATTTTCGAGTATACATTTTTTTATAATATATAACTATTCGTTTTAATATTTATATAATATTTAAACAAAATTATTTCTTATCAAAGTAATAATTCCCAAATAGCTACAAGTATACATTACTAAATAAACGCATCTATTAATACGTCCTTGTGGTGTAGTGGTAAGCGCATAGGATTTATTATCTAAAAGTCCGAGGTTCGATTCCTGCTAAAGGCAACGTTTTTTAGTTTTCAAAAAACACGTTGGATTTACATCGGAATGCCGACGTCGCGCGATGTCAGTTTATCCGACGTCAAATAACATTTCCATTTCCAACGTAAACCCAACGTCGATCCGACGTCGAGATCCGACTTCGCTCGACGTTCGTTCGACGTCGAAATGCCCACTGGGAAATCCATATATCTAAAATTTGCTACTAAAAACAGCATAACTTATTGCAAAATTGTCCTTTTTTAATAATTTGTTTAAAATATTGTATTAAAAAGCTTTCTAATGATATATAAGATTCTAGTATTTAATTAATTTAAAATTTTCATAACACGTACCTATTTATATGAGTCTTTTTATTTAGTACAGTGTTATTGTCTGGTGGCAATATTCAGGTAAGATTTTATAAAGTTCAATTTACTTTTAAAGAATCTTTGAAATTTACTTTTTAAAAAAGTTACATTTGCTTTTTTTTTTACTTTCTAATTCAACAAATTTTTTTATACTAAATGTTTAGAATTGAATAACAATATTTTGTTTGTTATTTTATTTTTAGTGCTACATATTGTAGATTTTAATTTTTCATTTAGCTTCATCATTAAAACTGGTTTAAGAAAAAAATTAATATTTTCTTTAATATGATTGTATTATTCTATTTTATGAGATATTTTACTAATAGTTTAATTGCTTTGAATTGTTTATATATATATATATATATATATATATATATATATATATATATATATATATATATATATATATATATGTATATATATATATATATATATATATATATATATATATATAAATATATATATTTATATATAAACAGATTTCTGGTGATAAATAATGCTTACCAAGCACGGTAAGCAACATTAGCGATGGCACCAAGCATACGAGTCGTCCTGCAACAGAGTTTTTTCTACAAAAAGGTTCACGAAGTTATGGATTGGCCGTCCAATATCTCCAACTGCAATCCAAACAAAAATACATTGGCCATCTTATTATATAATATAGAATAATAATTTAGGGTAATTTTTTCTTAAACTTTTTTAAATATTTAATATTTTTTAATATTTAAAAAATATTTAGTTTTTAAAAAGTTTCTTATAAATTTTTGAATTTTAATCAAGCTATTTTATTTATTTTTAATAAAATAGGCCTTTTTGTAGTTATGAAACTTTCAATTCTACTTCTACCCAGTGGGAAAAAAGAAGTCGAAAAGACGTCTTTAAAAGTCTTATTTACGATGTCTTTAAGACGTCTTTTTTTAGTCGATTATGCAAATCTAAAAGACATCTTTTTTCGACATCGAAAAGACGTCTTTTTTTATCTTAATCTTGTCATGAAAAGACATAAAAAATGCGTCTTTAAGACGCATTTTTTTTTTTGTCAAATATGCAAATCTTAACGACATCTTTTTTCGACATTGAAAATGCGTCTTTTTTATTTTCTTGTCATGATAAGACATAAAAAATGCGTCTTTAAGACGTCTTTGTTTATCAATTATGCACTTCTAAAAAACTGTTTTTTCTCGGGGTCGGAACGACTTTTTTGCCATACTTATTAGTATATTATAGTATCCTATCCAATATAGTATTCCTACTTTTCTTATATGAAAAGCTATTTTTTTCAAATGAAAATGATAATAGCTCTTCATACAAAGTATGACAAAAAGCTTTTTTCGATGCCGAGAAAAAAACCTCTTTTAGATGTCAATATAAAAGAGGAAGCATTTTCTACCTCTTTTATATGTTTAAATATAGGAGAATAATTTATAAAAAAAACAATAGTATTGTTCAACAGAATATTTTTTCAGCTTTCTCTTTCTTTTCTGTTTCTTGAGAGAGCTCTGTTTCTTGGCGTTGTTGAATAAAATTAACAATTTCACGTCAAGAAATCCTTTCATACGAGCAGGTTACGACTTCCAGCTGGTTACCACTTCTAAAAAAAGAAGTGAACATAAAAAAAAGTCTATTGCTTAAATGTAATACAAAAAAAGCAAACGAAACTTGATTAGCTGAGTGGAGCACATTATACTCACCGACTATTAATTCAAAAAGGGCTGAAACATGAGTTGATTAAAATCCTTTTAATCCACTCTGTTTCCAGCGAGGTCCCTTTTTTTTGAACCCACTAGGTTAGATTGGGACAGGAGTCAAACGGTAAACAGTCTAAAAATATATAAAAATGAATGTGCTAAATAAATTTACAACCATCAAAATGACTGTACAACGATGTATTTTATTATGTAGAACTTAAATCAAGCTAAACATTTGCACCTCTCAGATTTGCTATGAATATCAAGTTATTGAAAACAGATATTGATATTTTTCTGTCTTCTATAACATGATTTTTTAATTGAATTTCCATGAAATTAAGTGGTGTAGACTCATAACAATTTAAAAATCCGTTATTGACAAAAGACTATCAAAACAAAAAGGTAATTCAGCTAATACACCTTAAGAGTTGTTATTCATTTAAACTAGAAAAAAGTATTAGTCAAAGCTCTATTTTAGCCTGAAACATAAGGATGCTTTACTTAACAACATAAAATCATAAAAACTGGCGATATCATTAGCAACACAGATGAAATACACATAAACAAAAATGAAGACTAGAAAGCTGGAATGATGTTTAGATATAAGAAAGTGTACCTTTCCAGTACCATTTTCACTTGGTTTTTTGTATCCGAACCAAAAATTTGCAAACATTTTAAAAGATAAATCTGTTGTTATTATGTGTATTTTTATAATTGCTTTATTAATGACAGACAACAGTTAACGAGGAAATAACATATTTAACATAAAATTTGAAGAGCCAATCTTTTGTATGAACAATTTCATCATTCAACTAAATAAAAACAACAAAACTATTCAGATCATTTAAAAATATATTAAAAAAAAATTGCAAAATTGCTTCTGAATGCTTCTTTTTTTCTATCGTTCGTTTCACTAAAAATTTAATTTTTCACTAAAACACTTTCACAAAAGTTAATTTTTAGTTAAATTAACTATGCAAAAACGTTTCACATAAAAGTTATATAAAAGTATTTTGTAAACAAAAAACGGGCCAATCAGAACGTAACAAAGATATCGTAATTACGATACTGCGGGTTAAAACTCATTTTTGTTAGGTTCTATTGGCAATAGAATTGCCAACCGCATAATATCAAAACATATGCAAAGGTTGCGGCTCAAAAACAACAGACCTCAGACAAAACTAACCAATTTAAAGAAAAACCTTCAAATATTGATGATAATCCGAATAGTTTTAATTTAGTTGGAAAAAATAATAAACCTGTCCGCCAAACAAATATTCTACCCTTAGAAAAAAAACATAAGTTATTGGAGCCTATATTTGGAACGAAAACTCCGGGAAATGAGACTATTGCTGGTAGTCGAATAATTCGTAGATTTGAAGTTTTTATAGGTGGTGTTAGCAATCGAATCAACGAAGAACATATGAAATTGTATATGGAAACTGAATTAGGTGTTACGCCTATATCAATTACTTTAAACAGAGAAAACGAATTCAACAGATCGTATAGAGTCTCCGTAAGTAATTCAGAAAAAGATAAAATTTTCAACCCTTCATTATGGGATAACAATATCATCATTAAACCATTCCGTAAAAAGCGCATATATTCTAACGTGGATCATCTGGTATCCAACGGGGGAATAACAAATATTAATTGAAAATGGATCCAAGCACCATAAGAGAAGAAAACAAATCTTCAACAACTTTCGATATATGTACTTTCAACTGTCAGGGACTTAAGTCAAACATTGATTTTACAAAGTCACTTATACAATCCTATGATATAACTTTCTTATGTGAACATTGGATATCTAAACTTGAATACTCCGTAATAAGGGATATATCTAATAACACACACTCCATTTATTTCCATCAGTCTAATAAACATGAAAAAGGCCGACCGTTTGGCGGAAATGCGTTTTTTGTACGAAAAAATAAATTCCAAAATATAAGGGTAATTTACGAGGACGACCATATTTTAGCAATAAATTTCGAAAAAAACAATCTTAATATTATAGTTATTGGGTTATACCTCTCCTCATCGCGGAATAACCTCTCGTCTCTGGAAGAATATAAAGGTCAACTAGATACTGTTAAAGGTCTAATTGATAGTTACGAAGGTAACGGCAATATAATATTAGCAGGTGACTTCCAATCCTTTCCTCACCAAATGTATGATTTATTTGAAAGATCAAATTCTAAAAGAAATAGTTATTCTGTGCACTTATCGGAATTTTTAAAAACAAATCAATTAGAACTAGTTGATGTAACTAAAGGTTCTGGCCCTAATTATACATATCGACACCAGACACTACCGAATTCGTCATATATTGATCACTTCGCCGTATCAAAATATACAAGTTTTATAAATCTTAAATGCATTGTTCATCCTGAATGCTCAAATAATTTGAGCGACCACCTACCACTATCAATATCAGTTGAAGTTAAGTACACCGAATGCAATACCATTGAACTAGCAGAAGATACTAATATACCTAGCTACGCTTGGAACGATTCTAACTTTATAAATTCTTACAATGTTCATTTAACCAATCGCTTTAACAATCTTAATTTTACTAACGATTATGAATACGACCTTCTCCAAATCTATAAAAAAATTACTGACAGCGCTCAAATAGCTTTTAAGGAGACTTTAAAAAATAAAAAGCAATGTTTGTATTCAAAATCTTGGTGGACGCCTGAATTAAGTCGGTCTAAAACTATTCTTTCAATTCATTTTAAAAAATGGAGAGATTCTGGTTTTTCTAAAGAGTTAAACTCGGTATCATTTAACCGTTACCAAATGGCTCGTAAAAACTTTCGTAAAGCCGTCAAGTCGGCTCAAAATAATAAAATTTGCGCACAATATATTAAAATTGAAAAGTTAAAAAATACTAAACCAAAAAACTTTTGGAATGCTTTTAGATGTTTAAACAAAGACATAAATTCTAGATTATTTACCATAAATAATAAAAAAGACAAAGAATCTATTACTTCAGAATTCGCAAACCACTACGAAAGAGTACTGAATACTCCAAAAATAACTCATCGTAAAGAAAATCAGAGAATTCCCCCGTGTACAAAACATGATGATGTAACAATAACTGAAGAAAATATAATTGGGGCTATTTCAAATTTAAAATTAAAAAAATCTCCTGACTCTTTCGGTATCTCAGCAGAACATTTGAAATACGCAAAGTGCGATACTTTAACAAAATGGCTCATCAAATTTTTTAATTACTCTATTAATTATGGATCGACTCCAATATCAATGTCAACGTCAACTATTGTATCCCTTGTTAAATCGTACAAAAAGTCTTTAGATAGCCCAAGCAACTATCGTGGTATTAGTATTATACCAATTTTTACAAAGGTTCTAGAATACCTGATCTTAATTATATGTCCGGATATTAGAGATACTCACTCCCTACAATTTGGATTCAATGCTAACTCTTCAACGCTACATGCTGAATTTCTAATAAGCGAAACAATTAAACATTACAACAGCAACCATTCCCCTGTGTATCTATGTTCTTTAGATGCAAAAAAAGCTTTCGATAGCTGTAACTGGAATATCCTATTTGAAAAATTATATTTCGATAAAAAATTACCACTATGTATAGTTAACACTATCTCCTCGTTGTATAACAATAGTAGCGCAACAGTCTCATATCAAGGTTGTAAATCAAACTCTTTTCCTCTAAACCAAGGAGTAAGACAAGGATCAATTCTTTCGCCTCACCTCTATAATATTTACACTGAAAGTCTTCTCGAAACTATTAAAAATCAGGGTATTGTTGGCACATCTATAAACGGTAACTTTACTGGTGTGGTAGCCTATGCGGATGATATAATACTTTTAAGCTCTACCTTATCTGGTCTCAAAAAGCTTATAAAAACATGCAATATTTACAGTAATCTAAATTGTATTAAACTGAATGCCGAAAAGACTGAGTTCTTGATCTCAGGTAAAGCCCAAATACAAACTAATACAATAACAATTTCTGGTAATAAAAAAAATCTTCAGAATAAACTTAGACATCTGGGATTCACATGGGATACTAAACATTCAGTTTTTGCTTCACTCGGTTATTCAAATGTTGATGAAAAAATATCAAACTTTAGAGCTGTTGTTCAAACTCTTATTCAATCTGGAATCCGGTTTGCCCACCCCAGTTCTATTTCCTATATATATAAATCATTGGCAGTCCCCACCTTAACTTATGGTATGAAGCTATGTGAAAATAATCCTGGTCTGATGAAAAAGCTAGATATAATTGGAAGGAGTGCGCTAAAATCGTTTTTAAATGTTTCAAAACATAGTAAAAACTATATGAATTCGTTATTTAAAATCCAGGAAATTTCAAAAAGTGTTCAACAAAATAAGTTAAACTTGTTCCTTCGACTTCTTAATAACAAAACAACTGCAGACATTATCTTTTCACAACTGCAACACCCGTTATTTCAACATTCGTTTGTTAGTGATATTCAGGAACTATGCCATCTTCAGATATTAAATTTTCAAAACCTAATTCAAAATAAAAAGAAGGTAAAAATACCACTTTCTAAAAGTAAAATTCCTTCCGAAGTTGAACGAAACTTGAAGTATGCAGTAGAGTGCTGGAATGCAAAAGAGCAAAGAGGAGTTTTCAAGCAAATTCTGGAAGAAAACGTTTTTAAGCAAAGTCATCCGAAATAACTTTCTTAGTTTTTTCTTTTTACCTTGTAAATTGGGTGTTAAATAAATAAAATAATAATAATAATAATTATTTTTAATTTTCTTGAGCAAATAATGATTTCCTTATTAACAACCGATTGACGTCTTTTTGACCTCTTTTCTGAAGACGTCTTTTTAAAAGACGTCTTTCCACGTCTTTATTTTGGCTGATTATAAAAAGACATAACAAGTCATAAAAAAGATGCCTTTTATTCGTCTAAAGATGTCTTTTTTCCCACTGGGTAGTTTCTAATTCTACCTCTAGCTTCTAACATCTAAAGGAATAATGATTACTTTACAACCTCAGCAACCTACAATCAGAGGAATTTTAAAAAAGGAGATGACATCGAAACAAATTACAATGGAACCTCCATTGTAATTTGTTTCGACTGTATCTTTGACTTTCTATATTCTGATCCTTTGGTTAATTAAACTTTCTCTTGTATGATTTACAGATATTTACATTTACATATCCTCTAGCTTATAAATTTTGAAATCATCAATTCATTTTTGTTTATTTGATTTAGGTTTTGCAATTTTTTTTCTTAAATAGTAAACATTTTTAATACTTAAATATGAAATACTTATATAAATATTTCAACGGTCAATTATACTTATTTTAACTTTCAGAAAAACAGAAATGAAGCATTTTATGCTTGATTGATTTACGTTCTATTTCTTATTTAACATTAAATTTCATCAAAATTTTATCAAAAAAATAAGTAATTTTTAGAAATAGAGAACTTCATAATGAAGCTTTACAACAAATATGGATGCATTTTTATACATTCATTTTTATACATTCATTTCAGTATTGCAAGATGTAAAAAGACACCTGACCTGAACATAAAATTGATTAGGGGAGACCGGGGCTAGTTGGCCGCAGGGGTAAGTTGACGAATTGCGTTTATCTTTAAAGCCTTTCATCAAAAAGTGATAAAAATTACACAGAATCTTCCTAATTGACTGTTTCATCAT